TCCTAAATTTCTAAACAAACAAAAAATTTGATGCATACAAATTAAAACATGCCAGAAGAAAATGTACTCAAATATTAACAGTAGTTAATTCCTATAGTACTCTTTATTAATTCTATAACTTAAAAAATATTTGCTAAATGAAAATAAAAGGAGTACTACCCCTTAGTGCCAATGGTATAATGATGGTCAATGAAATGGAGAAAGAAAATCTGTGACTCAATGTCTTTCCCTCACTTAGAGAACCTTAAAACAAGATAACTATTTTTAAATGGACGATGCAGATAAGTTGGTGAGTTTGACATTAATTTTAAGCAAGATTCTAAAATGAGTTCTTTAATGGAACTTTGTATAAACCTAAAAAAGGAAACCATCAGTCAGCAGGAACATCATGGAGTCACTCAGTCATTTTAGACCATTTGTACTTCCTTTCTTTCTCCAATACGCTATTTGGAGGGGTATTAGAGGACAGACTCATAAACTGGTAAATGAAACCAAACAGAGAGAACAAGTACATCTGCTATCAGGGCCAAGATCCTGAGAGATGAAAGTAAATAGCTTAAGTCACTAAAAATTTTCATGCCTCTAATTTAGTTTATTTCTTGGATGAGATAAAAGATAGGGTAATAGGAGGCAAGCACATTATTAAATAGTGGAAAGTACCAAACTGAGAGAAATAGTAGATGTATATCAGAATCTAAAACAGAGTAAGGGATTAAACAATAGTTTAAGCCCAACAAAACAATATTTAACATAGATAGGGTAAGATATTGTATTATAATTTAAGATTAACTACTGATGGATACCGGATTTCTTTGGGAGAAAAGAAAATGTTCTGGAACTGAATAGTTGTGGTGGTTGCACAACTTTGTAAATGTCTGAAACCACTGAATTTTATACTTCATGTGATAAAAATGGTGAATTTTACGTTATCTCATTACAATATATTTTGTGATCACACATACGCTTATAATATTGCGACACTCATATACCAATAATACATAAGATATATTGACCTCCACAAATACTTCACGCTAATATTGTTACAGAATTCACAATAATGTCAAATCATGGGTGCAATGCACACTAACAAAAATTCTTTAAAATGAAGTACCAAAATCAATAATTATTCATTTCTTTGATTTTTAATTTATTTGCCACATGCTTACTTGGTACCAGGCACTGTGTTAAGAACTGTAGATACGGGGGTGAATACAATCCTCACCCTCAGAGAGCTTCCAGTTAAGAAGGGGACTTAACATTAAATAACTATCACTCCAATAAATACAATAACTGTAATGTGGAACATAAAGGGAAAATAAACTTCTATGATAAAATACGACAGGCAGGTCTGATGAAAATGGGATAGCTTCTGTGAAGAAATTACATTTAATTTGAAACTAGAATTTGAGGTATGAAGACAGAGGATTAGTATTCTCTCAGATGTAACAACAGTACACAAGTCCCAAGGTAGAAGAGAACCTGCACCTTTGAGAAGCCCACAAAGGCCATTTGTGATCAGAGAACAGACAGTAAGTAAAAAAGAAGATGGTCACAAAACAAGGCTAGAAAAGTAAGAAGGGATCAGTCTACACAGGGTCCTATGGGCCTCTTGAAGAGTCTTACTTTGTATCTTGGGTACAAAGAAAAGCCACCCAAGAATTTTAGCAGAGAAGCAATATATGATCAATCTGGATCATAAAAGCAACATCCAGACCCCTCTGTGAAAAAGGGATTAGAGAGGAGCAAAGGAGTAAATTAGGAGCCCACTTAGGAGGCTCTTAGAGTAACATCTCAGACTTGGGTGTGGGGGTAGAGAAGAAGAGAAAACATTTTGAAGATCTGTTTTAAAGATTATCACAAATTCTGTTTTATAACTCCAATTTACAGATGTGAGGATATGCTTTCCAAAGAAAGTTTATTTATCCAGGATCCCAGACAGATTAGCATCCATCTAGGACCAAACTAAGGTCCACAAACACTTCCAATTATCTCTAGGAGCTCTGAAGTCTTTTCATATAACTAGATAGTATCTGAACTCAAATTATTCCTAAGCTTCTAGCAGAATAATTTCTTACTGGAAAGTTTTCAGAGTGTTAAAGGAAGCCAGTCAGTGAAGTAGGAACCTAAAAGTACACTACAAAGAGTAGAGGTAGCACTTGGTGTTTTCACTTAAACCCAACAACAAGTAAGCTTGTCCTTTGAAAATGATTTTGACTATAGAGGAATCATTCTGGGAGATGAGTGCTCTGCTTAGCACATGGTATTCAAGGCTTCAGTTAAACACACACACACACGAAGAGATATGTGCAAAGCGTTCCAAATTATTCATGTGCCTGTGTCTCCTTAAACTGCACTCCAGAGACTGAAGCAAAACAAAGAGGCTGTGATGGCTACTATATAGCTTTTGAAGACTAAATGAATCCTTTGCATTGTAATAGGAAAGCAACTGTATGTTACACATGCATATATTTCTTTTCCTCTTAAATAAAATCCTGCAATCCCCATGGTAAATATTGCTCCAAATCCACGAATGGTCACATAAACCCAGACAGGGAAAAAAAAAAATGCCTTCCAGAAAAAGTAGATTACTTAGCTAGGATCTCAGACACATTAACATCAACCCAGTACAAACCCAAGACATGAAACCACGAAATCAAAGGAAAACTGTCTATTCAATTTTCTCAGGGTATGATGGGAGCAAACAACAAAGATGCATACGATCATTTGACAACTTTACATTTTATAACACATGCTCTGAAAGTAATCTTGTTCTCTTTTTCATTTAGATGATGAAAATTAATTTTGGACTAAAAAATGTAAATCTAAAGGAGGGTGTTGTTTAACACAAGGGATCTTTAATTTTTACCAGTGTTATTGTTTTTAGCTTCTTTGAGATTTCGACTTCTTTGTAATTATTTATTAGTATATAACATATAGGTATATGTATGTATGTATATACACACACACACACCCCTACACGATTGCTGGCTCAAATGCTCCTGGCCTTCCTTGACTCCTCCCATGTTCACTCTCAGCTCTTCTAAGCAAGCTTTCCTCACCCTTGATGGTAGAGCTGATCTTTTATCCATTCTCCCCTCTCCACCTACTGTATCTTGTACATTTTTCCATCATGCAATGGCATATTTACAAGTGGCTCCCCTTCCAGTCTGTGAGTCCCCTGGCCCTTAACACCAAGCATAATACATGAAAGATTCTCAAATGCTTGTGGAATGAAATGAGTGAATAGATAAATCTCATCTCCCCACCTGTGTAATTTTATATTTATTTCCCTGCAATATCGTATATGTTAACCATTCCCCAATTCAGAGACACTTCAGATAAGTCTACATCACCACCACAATTTCTTTCCATTTCTACATAGAAGGGGATTTCTAACTTGAAGTAGTACACTGTTTGAAGGGTGTTTATGAAATCAAGTTTAAGAATAATCAGATTTACACATAAGATTTTATGCAGGATGAATGTGACTATGGACTAGAAACAGTCTTTACTCCCCAACATTTATATTCTATAAGAAAACGATATCCAATGCCATGTTGTCCATTCATTCCTGCTTCTGACATTCTTATCACATACAATTCTTATAAAGGGCCCTCTTCCTCTTTAAAGAAGAAGAGATGTCCTTGGCAAGGGCAGAGTGAATCCATGAGTTAAATTTGTCATTTTGGAATAAATTATTTAGTACCACTTAAACCCTGAAAGCTTTGAACCACCTATCTTGTGGTTTATGGCACTGTCTTCTAAGTTTACAATTTCCTGACTGTGAAGCAACAATTTAATTCTATAGTGTAAAATCAGTGCAATGTAAATATACTATAGAAACTAGCATTCTCTAGCAAAGCAAAAGATTTATTCTTTCACTGGCATGCGACAATTTTAAACAGGCTTTTAGAAATAGATACTGGGGAACTATTACAATTTAGGAATAAAGTTGTTTTTTTGTTTGTTTGTTTGTTTGTTTGTTTGTTTTTTGCTGGGTATAAAGCAAACTAACTGTCTCCCTCTTTCCATGAAATGAGCCATATTCCTGAAGCTACCTGAGCTCTCTGTCCACTAAGATGAAGAGCTTTGACCTAACTCTGTTATGAACGTAGAGTTTGAATAGGAGACCATCCGAGATGTAAAGGAGCTGTGGTGGTAGAAACAAGAAACAGCCAATAGGATTTTTAAATGTATTCTCTCACTAGTTCAGGGTTTTCACCAGGCAGGAATGACAATCATTTTCATTCTAAATTATATTACCAGTACAACTATGGGTAGGAAGGTTTGGCACTGAGCCAAGGATTCCAGGAAATGTTATTTAACTGTATAATCAGGGACCAGTCACTTGGGTGGAGTGGCAAAAGGTGGCGTTGTTTAAAATACACCAGTGGATGGATCTATAAACTGCATCATTCTCCCCAAATAACTAAACAGACTGGAAAAGGCAGGAACACACCCTCATTCAACCTAGGGCAAACACTGATCATCAGTTCTATGAAAGGTCCCTTGAAGCTAGCCTGGGAAGAGTGAGGATGGTGAGTCTGAAGTTTAAGATTCAACATGCTTTCAAGTGCATCCAGTCCACCTGCATATACCTCCTTTTCCTTCTACTGAAAGGTCTGTCTCCCTTTCAACTCCTCAGAACTGTCAACAGTTTTTAAAAATGCATATGAAATTTTTAAAAGCCTAGTGCCAGAAGAGACGGAAACAGTTATTAGCAGTCTGTTAATTGACACACAAGCCGAGTTCCCTCCTGCTCAACCCCACGTCTAGGGAGCACCAAGGACAAGAGGTTAGCTAAAGCTAGGCCTGCGAAACAGCCAGAGAAAGGCCGGCCTCCCAGGGACCGGAGGAGAGATGCTTAAGCGCCGCCTGCTCCTCCCTCGCTCGGCTCGCGGTCCAAGCTCTGCCAGCTCCCTGCAGGGAAGTCGAGCCTCCTGCGCGCTCAGCATCCCTCCTCCTTCTCTCCCTCCTCCGCCCGCGCGGGTGCCACCAACCTTGGGCGTGCGGATGTGCTCCATGGCGGGTCCACGTCTGCAGGGTCCCCGGCGGGCGCGGCCTCACGCACCTGCGCGACTGCAGCGCGGCGGGTGGGGCCCGGCGAGGGGGCTTCGCGCGCGGGAGCACGCGGCGACGAGGCTTAGCTCCGCCTCCAGGTGCGCCGCGCCCGCGCCAGGCCCCGAGTGCTGGACCCGGGGCGCCTGCGCGGTGCTGGGCGCGCGGCTCTGCGCCTTCTCCCACCTGCGTGGCCTGAGCTGCTTCCCCCACTCCGTGGCTGTGGTCACTGCAGTGAGAGGCGCTGGCTTCATTTTAAGAGGACCACCCGAAAACCCGGGTGGTGGCGTGCCTGTGATCCCAGCTACTCAGGAGGCTGAGGTGCGGGGGTCGCTGAAGCCCAGTATTGGGCCAGCATGGGGAGCAGAGCAAGACCTCGTCTAAAAAAAAAAAAAAAGTATAAAAGAGGGGCAGCCGGCCCCCTAGTACTGTGGATCTACTGTTCCCCAAGACACAATGAGGGCCTTGTGTTGGGTGTGGCCTCTCAGAGGACAGATGGGGAATATGCGCCACTTCACATCCTCTTTGGCTTCCTTCCAGAGCGTCCTGCGATAGATGGTATTTCACAGGGGGGCAGGAAAAAAAGGACTGCCCCACACAACTGAGGTTGCAGTATGGCCTAGTGGGCTCCCTCTCTGTTTTGGCACAGACTCAGCCGGCATAACATTTGGGACTATCGGAAATAATAGCAACAGTGTTCGCACCCCAGTAAGTGTGCTATTAAATCAGGCATCTCACATCAACCTGCGATTTCACTGTTGGGACTGTTGCAAGAGACACTTTTCCCTTGGCACTGTATTGGGTGTGTGTTTTTCTCTTTACCTAGCACAAACTGAACTGGAAGCTACGAAGATACAAAGCATCTATTCTGAGGTATCATTAAGCCACTGGGAAAGCCAAAGAGAAGAAATGACCTCCACCTTCTTTTCTTGTGGCCCTAAGTTTAAAACACTCCATCATGACCAAAATTTCACAGAATTGTACATAGTTCTTGGAAAGACGTCTATTCAATTTTTTTTCTAGCTCTTACTCATCTGTGTGACACATTATTTGACAGTGGGGAATTTTTTACCTCCCTTTTCAATACCTGATATGCACATTACAGTCTTCCAAAAAATTGTTTATTTGATACAGAGTTGAGTTTATTTTAAAATTTCCAGATCCTCTTCATTCATCTTGTTTCATCTACAGCTCTAGTACTATAAACCACAGTTTTCAGATGACAAGAGTGACCTTTTACTAGTATTTATTATGTATTCATGTTCTTTCACTAAAGAGCACCAGGAATAGACTCAAGAGCATTCTCGTCCCAACATTGGCCTCTGTCACTCCATTTATTACATGAGAAGGTCACATGGCCAGATAATCTTAAATGTAGCTTCCATCTCTAAATTCCATCTTACATGATACAAGAATCATCTTTTTTAGAGGAAATCATTCTGACTGGGATAATGATCTTGAAATGTGTGCTTTCAAGGCTCTTCTATCCCTCCACTGGTAGGCTAATCAAGAGTTTACTCAATGAGCAATTTTTTCATATAAGTATTATTAGCGTAAGTTTAAAAGAATTAATTGGCAGTGAGGAAATGTAAATCTGAACAATTTAAGCAGCCTGGCACTAAGAAAAAAATTCACAGGTTAATCTAAGTTAGAAATTCAGTGTGGGTTAAAATGAATCAAGAATTATAATCAAATTATTAATATAGATTAATATAGAATTACATGGAAATAAATTGACAATAGGGAAGAATTTTCTAGAAACAAACATTTTGGTTTGATCTAACTTGTTCCCCAAGGAATCCTTCTCATCTTGTTCCCCATTCTCCATCTTTATGGAGGTATTTAAATCACAAACTATTAGACCCTCAATAGCCACACTGAACTCCCTGGTACACTGTCATGTATTCCCCAAGTTTCCCTGTTTTCCCCAACCACCACCCCACATGCAGAAGAGATGGGGGAAAAGCAGCAAGAATCAGGGAGATTCTTGAGGGAGACACAGTATATTATTGAGATGGTTAACTATATTCATCTTAAGTAGGGGAGAAAAGCAAAATGACCATTCATTTATTCAAGAAATATTGCCTTTATTTAATTGTTGGTCATCATCAGGGTATCATGGCTGATGCTGACAGGCCAAAGAGAGATGAGAGATACTAAATTCTGTAAATGTGATATGACTAACATCAAGAAATTAAAAGTAGGCCAACTTAAGATGATGACAAAGCTTGTGGAAATTCCAAAAGATGCCTCAAGAAGAATGATCTATTTGTTATATTTTACCTATTACTTAGGAAAAATATCAATGGACAGACTTGGGTTCAGACCCTTAGTTCTTAATGTTTAATATCTGGTGTGCCTGAAATGAACCATAGGGCATTTGAATGAATATTACATCCAAGTTGGCATCCCAAAATGTTTCCATCTGGCCCTGGTCCAAAAAGAGAATAGGGAGGGAGAGGGAGAGGGAGAAGAAGAGGGAGAGGGAGAGGGAAAAAGAGAAATAGACAGAGAAAGACAGGGAGAGGGAGAGAGAGAAAGAGAGGGAGAGGGAGACGGAGACAGGAAGGGAAAACGTCATGCTTTCAACTCCACAAAATTTGCAGATAGATGCACACCCAGATTTGTATTAAATCAGCATACACCAAATGGGTTGGAAAAACTGTGTTTCTTTAATATTTGTGAATCCCAGATGGAAAATAAAAGTATTTCAACAAAACTATTTACACCATCAAACAAAGTATCAGAGTTAAGACTGAATTACTTGCATGTTCATCGAACTATTACCCTTGCCAAGGTAGTCCTCATTTTATCATCAGTGTCTCAATGTTTTCAGTTATGTGATATATAAATCAATATGTAATTTCCCTGTCCTTTCTGACCATCCCAAGACTACACTTCTCAAACCCCTGACTGTTAGGTGGGGTCATGTGACTAGTTCTAGCCAGGGAACTGTGAGAAGTGGCTTGTGCCTCTTTCTGGGTAACCTCCTGCAAAGCCTCTGTGTAGCCCTTCTGCTCTCTCTTCCCCAGTCTTGATGATCTAGAAGTTACATGTTGAGCTTAAAAAGAGAAAAAAGACAGTGAATTTACTCTCAATATATAACGTTACTGTGGCCCAAAGTACTCAGCATTAGATTGAAACAAGACAAGAGGAAAATAGACTGTATCCTGGGGTCCCCATTGGAAGAGTCACGGCAGACTATTTCATGAGTGAAAAGAACACCTTTTTGTTGTTGTTGCATGAATCACTGAGATTTCAAGATTGCTTCAGTATTCTAGTATAGCCTAACCTATACCAATTTTATAGAAAAGAGGAATTGAGTTAAAACAATAATACTGTCTCTCTTTTTCATGTTTCTGATTTTTAAAAAATATTTATTTTTTAGTCATATTTATTTTTTAGTCGTAGTTGGACACAATACCTTTATTTTAATGTGGGGCTGAGGATCAAACCCAGGGCCTCAAACGAGGTGCGAGGCAGACACTCTACCACTGAGCCACAACCCCAGCCCCATTTTCTGATTTTTTAAAGGAGTTGATAATGTCTTTAAAGGACACTTTATGATAATGTCTCTAAGGACACATGCCAGAGCAAGACCTAACTGCATTGTTGTGCTTTACCAAACATCTTCTAGAAAACATCTTAAGAAAAATGTACTACATAGATATTTCAGCTGCAAATAATATTGCTAGAGGAAATTTTTTTAAAAACCTTGATATTAACTGGGAACTTTTCTAAAATCTTGAGATCTTTAGTGGCCTGAAGAGATTTGGAAACTTATCAAACTTAGCAAGACTTTTTATGAAATACTTACATTTCTCCAAAGAAAACTCAAACATCTGATCTTGCAGGAAAGCCCAAAAGTGCTTCCTTGGAGGGTAGTATTGCTAATGGTTACAAATTCAACAAAATCCTACTAAGCAGTATTAAACCCTAGTGGTCCTGCTGCATATGGAGGAAGGTACCCATTTTCAAACAAGCCCAGCCTCCTTTAGAAGTGTATTAGATTCCCAGTATGACAGAGTCAGAGATACATTCAGGGTTCTCCCTGATTGAAAAAACAGCATACTCAACTTCAGGAGTCTTATGCACCCAATGATGTAAAACATCAATGTCTTCTGTGCCAAAGATGTTGAGAAAAATTACTCATTGGATTGTAGACAGCTCTGCCCTTTTTCCAGAAACCAAAAAAAGAAACTCTTGGGCAGCCAAAAAGAACCTTTACTCTGTGAACAGGCAGGGTTTTTAAATAGACTCTTTTATTTTCTTCTCCCTCCAGGAAGACTCCACTGTTCAAGCCCAAGTCTATGTCCTCAGGCCAGTCATTGTTACTTGTTCCCTTTCTACTCCCATCCCTTCAACTGTCACTTTGATGCAGATAATTCTCTTATGATGTTTGCAGTCCTGAATTCTCTCCCTGCATCACATGTTATAGTTAAGTACTATACTTAACTATATCTACTTGGATATCCCATGAATAATCCACTTGTCACAAACCAGGTGTAGTTACAAAAATGGGCTATGGAGGGGCTGGGATCATGGCTCATCGGTAGAGCACTTGCCTAGTATGGGCGGGACCTGAGTTTGATCCACAGTACCACATAAAAATAAAGGCATGTGTCCATCTACACCCCCAAAAATAAATATTTTAAAAAATGGACTATGGAGGCAGACAGACCTAGATTCAAGTTAACCCTGACAGGCACTAGCTGTAGGACCTTGACCATGTTATCTTATTACTCTCAGTTTCAGCCTTCTCACCTATACAGTGGAGATAAGGATAATGCTATGGACTGAATGTTTGTGTTCCCCCAAAATGCACATACTGAAATCCAAATCCCCAGGGCAATGGATTAGGAGGTGGAACTTTTGAAAGGAGAAAACTTTAGAATGAATAGAATTAGGGCCCCTGAGAGACCTGTACTCCCTCCAACATAGAGGTCAGAATGAAAAGACAGCCATCTGTAAACCAGGATGCAGGTCTTCACCAGAGATTGAATTATCCCACACCTTGATCTTT